ATTAACTTCGTAACCTGGTGACCAAACTATGCAATCATTGATACCGGACGATAAGTAGTGGGAACGATCACCATATGTTTTAGAGCAAAAGCAGCTTGTTTAATACAGCATCCCCGCGCGTACGCGTACGTATGCAGTGATGCCATCAACCAAACAAGAGAATTTGGGACACAACACCATTCAGAAAAGAATAATTTAAAGTTTGATCAGGCAGCAGTTTCCATATTCTTGGCTAGATTTGTCTCCTCAATTTTCAAACAATCCCAACGATTATGAAAAGACACCGTTGTTCGATCACCGACCAGAAACCGCTCTACTAATCATCATCTAATTAACGAGAATAAACTAATCGCCTTCCGTTTCAGAAATTCGTGGCAGTTGCATTCATGGGGTCCACATGCTGACATGCACGATACTATGATAAGAACTCCCTGCCTTTCGCTCATCACAACGATCATGTCTGGAGATCACAACGGCCAGTAATACTAAGTTCTGCATCTTTTTTTTTTGTCTGAACTGATCAACTCATCACGTCCTCTGAATGTATGCATGATTCCAAATCTTGTGGCCTGCATACCTCCAGGTCTCTCTACTCGTTCAGCTGCAATGCTTGACCTTGTAAGCACTTCTCTGATCACTACCCGTGAAAAAAGTTAGCGATAATTATGCAGAGAGAGATAGTAGTAGATTGGTCCAAGAGTTTTTGTGGCCAAGAAGACGGCAGCATGTTCTGACACTGCGAATTGCTGAGGCAAACATGTAGCTTGATCGAGCAGTTGAGATTAGGACAGCTTAAGTGATAAAGTAAAGAAGAATTAAAATGTCCGGCCTAATTAAACACCAAACAAGAGGACACGCATGCAGATCGGAGCGAGAGTATAGGGAGAGTCCACGACGACCAAGATTTGCATCGACATAGAACTTTGGTTCAGTAGGGTGATACATCTATTTTATCTCAGTTTGTATTAGGTTTTGGCCGTTTGGGTGGTTGGTCAGACATCCCATTTTGATCACGTTCTGCAGTAGTAGTACAATGTTGTTGACACACTGACACCGAGATGAAAGACTTATTTAGCTCCCAGGATTTGGACGAATATGGTGGTTAATTCCGGGCCATTTGTGTTTTTTTCTCACTTGAGAGCAACCACAGGCCTAACAACACTGCGAAAGAGAGAGAGAAAAATGTTGTTTTCGGCGCAATTCTAGCAGAGATCGTAGACTAAATAACGCAGGCCATTTTTGCATCAGAAAACTCATGCTATACTAGCAAACAGTATATGAAGAGCTGTGAAGCCGACCAGGGAGAGGCTGCCTAGGGCCACACTTCACTCCGGTTGCGGAGACAAGCAGCAGCCACTTGCGCCGTCAGGTTGGCCATCAGCGGGACATTGTTAGGACCAGGCATCAGCTGCATCAGATCACCATCATGCACCAGCATCGTCTTGGCCGCATCTACCATTCCGCCACATGGTTTAACATGGCTGTCACTGTGCATGTCCAGATCATCCTACCTCGATCGAGCTAATTAACACCGAGATCAGCTGATCGATCGATCGACAGGCAAAGATCGAGCCATGCATGGCGATGTGCTCGCAGCCATTATCAGACATGGATGGATCTATCTCTGGAACTGAAGCCACGTTGGTGGTGTTCTTGGCGACACAAACAGCAGCAGCATGCAGCTTCGGAACCTGATCGGGATCACGGTGGTTTTCGCGAAATCTGGTCGAGATATGGGTGCCTGCTCGATGAGGAGTTGCTCGTAGACATGCAGGTTTTATGAGAGATTGGTGGTCGACTTCTTCAGAGGTCAGTGTATTGCACATGGAGTTCGGCGTGGCGGCGTCAATGTGTAGTACCAACGAACTGAAACGGCATGGTCTGTCTGATGCTGCTGTTAGTTGTGGTATATATAGTAGTTTAGTCTCCCAGCAGTTTGGTGATTTGGTCACATGGCTGTGTGCCCAGGAAATGAGGACAAGGGTATCTCTGATTCCGTAGGGCAATCCCTTTGCATGTTGTACTGGATCATCGCCCAACTGCCGATTTTGCAATATTTTTGTCTTCAGCTGCCATGGGACTCTGGAAGAACAAAGATAGACACTACAGGTATTTGTTAGTTTTTGCTAAGTGTTCGACCTCCTTATCATCGGTACGCAGTGTTAAAAAAAATTAACTTACACTGTATATAAAACTATGAAAACATTTTTTTATGTGTAAATCAGATGCGTGGCCATTCTAGTAGCATGTGTCTCATGTAGCATGAATGCATTGTTGGCGTCAAAACGCGCCACATTTTAATGGGGCAGACGCATACTTAGATTCGCGTGCACACGCGCACCCACATTAATTTTCATGTATTCGTGGGTGAGTGTGCTCACATTCTCACACGAACACATTTCAAAATTTTGAATTGTGTTTAGCCATATTATAACTATCACACGTTTTATACGTTCCATTTTCTTAGGTAATGGAAATGAATTATATTTCCGGCCTCTATCCGTGGACACACAGCCAAAAAGTCTTAGAAGTAAATAGGAAGAAATTAAAAAAGGCGTGATGTGACAAACCTCCCAACTTCCGTCAATAAAATGATCGACTAAAATAATGTTTCCAAAATCATATAGATTCTAGAACAACATTTTGTAGGTACTACGCCATCCTTGGCTACCAATTCCAATTGTGTAACACCATTACGCATAGTATCATGTTATTCCTACAAAAAGCAACATACACCAAGAGTGTAGCTAGTGGGAATACATGAAGATAACCTGCATAATGTTAGATATTCTTTATATGGTTAAAAATTACCTCATTACGGCATCACTAGATTAACCAACATAGAGCACTAACTTCAAATAAAATAACGAAGCGAAAGGCCCAAACTAATCGCTTCATAATTTATTGGTGGGATAAGTCTACTTTGATTTAAGAGTCCTAAATATATATATTCAATCTGATTCGTATCCCTCAATCATAATACCACATATCTTGATCGTTGGCTACTAACTATTAAAAGCCAACATGTGGCTCGTTGATATGGTCCAATTGACTAAGTCAGCATATATATGAAACCCATATATAAGTCCCCATATCATCTTCTACCTCACCTCTCTCTTCTCTCTCTTTCCTCCCTTCCATTTTCCCCCATCACGCTTCCAATAGTTTGGTCTGTTGGGAAAGCGACGGCAGTGGCAAGCCGGAGCTAGGGAGGCAACTATTGGCTCCTTCCCTCTTCTCTCCCTCCCTCCTCCCCCCTTCTCACTCTCTCTCTCTCGTGGTTGGGGCACATGGGCCGTCAAAGACGGGGATTCGAGCTAATAACATGGCTAGAGGAAGATTCAAGCAAGGAGCACGTTGGGATGCCACCGCCATCGCTCTGCTGCGCCGAGAAGAAGGTAAGGGAGAGAAAGCGAGTGAGGGGTAGGGAGCAAATAAGAGCATCTCCAACAGCCTCCTTATTCCCCTCTCCAAGTTAAATTTGGACAATTTTGGCTCAATTTCACCCTCCAATAGACTGGCTATCCGGATGGCCAAGCCATCTGGCTGGCCAAAGTCCTCCTCCCACTGGCCAAATTTGGCCAGCCAAAATAGCCTAGCCAATCGTGGGCCCCATGCCAACAGCATCCCTCTCCCCCTTTCTCTCTCCGCTACCACGTCGTCGAGATGCCATTGCTGCAGTTGAGGTCGTCGTTGCCGGACGCCGCCGCCGTCGGCGCAGTCGCCGTCACCAGATCTGCTGTTGTTGGGCGCCGCCGTCGTCGCGCCGTCGCCAGATCCTCGAGGGCGTCGTTGCGCCGTTGCCAGCCGTCGTCGGCGCCTCGCCAACCGTCGTCTCCGAGGTGGTCGTTGGCTGGCGTCGCCATCGTCATCGCCAGATCCGTCGCCAGCCGAGGTTGCCGTCCACTACCGTCGTCTCCGAGGTCAGCCCAAGCAGTGGCGGCGGCGGATGGCGAGCGGCGAATGGGGATGGGGCGGCGGTGGCGGATGGCGAGCAGCTGATGGGGATGGGGTGGCAGCAGTGGCGGTGGCGGATGGCGAGCGGCGGATGGGGATGGGGTGGCGGCGCTGGCGGATGGGGATGGGGATGGGGCGGCGGCGGCGGAGAGGACCAGCTCTCACCTACTGCGAGCTGAGCAGAGGGGCTTGGGGAAAAGGAGGAGAAAGATGAGGAGGAAGAAAGGGTTGTAGAGACTGACACGTGGGTCCCACTGTCATAGGTTTAGAATAGAGAAGATGAATGGAGATGCTGTTGGAGTAAATAAGAGTTTGACTGGCTAAATTAGATGGAGAGTTGGCCAAATAGACATTTAGAGAGTTAGATTTGGAGAGACTGTTGGAGATGCTCTAAGAGAAAGATGATATGTGGACCCCCCCCCACTTTATTTCTTAATTTTTTTAATAGTAGTGCTGCCACGTGGACGGCACATCAGCGAAAACCGTCTTAATAAAAAGGAGAGAGCGATTTTAATAGTTGGGGCTATCGTTATACCCCGAGTTTTATGATCGAGGGAGATGAATGAGATCTGACCATTAGTTAAGGGAGTCAGAGTGAACTTATTCCTCTATCAGCAGGGTTCGTTCTGATGATTCATATAGGCCCAGGACGCCCAGGATTTGACGAGGGCCACTTTAATTGCTCCAGGAGCGGAACTTGAGCCCATTCATTTTTATTCCGGGTGAGGAAGATGGGCCGGTCCCCGTAAGGCTTGAGGCCTTGTGGGCCGCTTCATCATCATCGATCTATTATGGACGTACAGTAAAAGGTCAGTCAGTCCCGGGCTCTCGCCCGGTCGGCGACTATGGACGTTTCCGCTGGATCCCTTTGCTCCTCCGAGGGAACCAATGGAGACGGTCCAGACGGAGACACCCATCGATCCGCCACCATCAGCAGAGGACGGCACACGAAACCAGCCAATGCTTTCGCTGTCCATGGGCCTCGCCCGCCTGGCACCTTGTGGCATCGCATGGCGTTGGCGTCACCACCCCGCTCTCGGCCTTTCCGTTTCTGCCTCTGCTGCCCACAGCCACCTTCCTCCCGTGCGTTGTGTTGTGCGTGCCAGATTGGTAGTAGTAGGCTGGTAGTAGCGCAGCGGTAGCCTCCTTCGTTATCCCCAAACCCCGCGCCGACGGGCGTCCTCCTCACCGACATTTCCTCCCACCCCCGCGCGCGCCCCGCCGCCTTTCTCGAACCTCCGCCGCATTCTTGTCACCTTGTTGATTCTTCATTCTTGATTTGTTCTCCTTTTTTTTTTGGTGATTTTGTTGTTTCTTGGCCTGCTACTGTTGGCGGCGGCGAGCGGTGGTCACCGGCCGTGCGTTCCCTTCTTTCTCCTCAGCCCTCGGCTCCCCCGCCGGCCGGACACGCCGCCGGAGCTGAGTTGTTGAGGTTTTGCAGGTATTGGTGATAAACCCTAGTATAGTTCGCTTGGGTTCTTGGGGATTTCCCTCCTCCTCCTCTTTGCTGCCGATCTAATCCAAATCTTCTTTCCCTTCTTCCAGGGAAGGGATACACTCCGATCCCCAATGCCCCGCGTTTGGTCCGCCCCTGCATCCTCCTCCACAGATTGCTAGGCTTCACCGGAGATGATGGCGGCGCCGCAGCTACCGTGCTGCACTCGCCTCGCTCCGCCGTGTCCCGGGAAGGCGGCGGCGGAGGCAAGAACCCTGGCACGTTCACGGTTCAGGTGCTGTGCGGGGGCCGCGAGGCCTCGCTCGTTCCAGAAGAAAGACTCCTTCCTGGACCTCCACCCTGAGGTGACCCTCCTCCGCGGCGGCGACGAGGCGGCCGTCGTCGCCACGAGGAAGGGGTCTCCGAACGGGAGCCCGCTGGAGGGGCTGGGCGCGCCGCCGGATCACTGCGATTACGACGGGGCCAAGATCAAGGTCGTCGGGGTCGGCGGAGGAGGCTCCAATGCCGTCAACAGGATGATTGAGAGCTCCATGAACGGCGTCGAGTTCTGGATTGTGAATACCGATGTGCAGGCGATAAGGATGTCGCCGGTCCTTCCGCAGAACAGGTTGCAGATTGGGCAGGAGCTGACTCGGGGTCTAGGCGCAGGTGGAAACCCTGACATTGGGATGAATGCGGCGAAAGAAAGTGTCGAGTCCATTCAGGAAGCTCTTTACGGTGCTGATATGGTTTTTGTCACGGTAAATGCTTCCCCCTAGATGGTCTCTTGACTTGTGAAATCATCATACATTGAGGTATGTGATAATAGTCTTTTGGTGTCCAAACTGCAGGCTGGGATGGGTGGAGGCACTGGAACTGGAGGTGCCCCTGTAATCGCTGGAATTGCCAAGTCCATGGGTATACTGACAGTTGGCATCGTGACGACACCATTCTCATTTGAAGGGAGGAGACGGGCAGTTCAGGCTCAAGAAGGAATAGCAGCCTTGAGAAATAGTGTGGACACCCTCATTGTCATCCCAAATGACAAGCTGTTGTCTGCTGTTTCTCCAAATACTCCAGTAACCGAAGCATTCAACTTGGCTGATGATATTCTTCGACAAGGAATTCGTGGTATCTCTGATATTATCACGGTAAGATAATGTCTGCATATAACTGCATTGGTTTGGTAGTGAAAGTTGGAATGCGGAAGTATGATGTGGATTAATTGAGCATTTCAGTGCTATCTAATTTGTATAAAGTTAACGGACTCTTCTCCTTTGCAGGTTCCTGGGTTGGTTAATGTTGATTTTGCTGATGTTCGAGCCATCATGCAAAATGCAGGCTCATCCTTGATGGGTATTGGAACGGCTACAGGTATTGCATTTGGACAAGTTTTATCTATGTATTTCTTTAATTTGTCTTTTGGAATTGTGCTTTCTGGAATTAGCATAAACCATAATACGTTATGATCCAACTCCCTTCTTTCTGTATTTGCTCTTTTCTGGAATTAGCTCTTCCTTGATGTTCGAGTAGTTTTCCCCGCAAAGATTCCACTTGGTAATTATTTCCCTATGTTAATAAGTATGTCTACCTTTTCTTTTTCTTACATTGGTCTCATTATTTCTCTTATGGAGAAATCTAAGTGGAAAGTGCAACAGGTTCTTGTATTGTGAAGGGATTATGCAATAGAGACAAACAAATCAGTAAAAGACATTAATTTTTTTTATACGAAGTAACCAATGGATGATATATGACAAGGGGAGTTATGAATTATATAGTACATTGTGATGTTTTGTTGTTTCCACAGGGACCATACATAGCTTAGATTGAATTTTACCCATATGTTTATTTAGCATGTTATTATAAATTTTCAGGGAAGTCAAGAGCAAGAGATGCTGCTCTTAATGCCATTCAGTCACCACTGCTAGACATTGGAATTGAAAGAGCTACAGGCATTGTGTGGAATATCACTGGGGGAGCTGATATGACTTTGTTTGAGGTTTGGTTAATCTTTTTCTAGTATGTTTGCATCATATTTTCTGTATGTTATCATGCATCTAACATAACATGAATAACAATCAGCTGAAAAAGGAAATGTTAGGAGACAGCAACTGCAATTCTTTTTTGTTTGTATGTGATAGTGAAATGTTGCTATATTATTCACTCTACAGCATACATACTGCTGATAAGTGTGGTTGAGTAGCTAAATTACCTTCCAATCTACCATGGGGCTATATTTCAAATGCTTGCTTGATTTGAAGCTCTATCTTTCAGGCTTTACTTGGTTGATTTTCAAATAGCCCAAGTGACAGGCTGAAACACTGATTCCCTGTTACAGTACTACATGTAACACAATCTTCTTTAGTTAGTTCAATGCATCAATGTGTTCAACTTAAATGGTTGATCAAATTTTGGAAGTCTGTAAGTGGCATGATAAACCACTGTCTTGGATCTTTTTACACCATAGGTCTGTCACTCTATCGCCTTAGCTAGATTAGAATTCTAATACTGCCTTGTTTTTACTGAAACCACTGCACGTGCCTCTACCATTTTCAGGTAGTATTAGCATATGCATGCTGGTTTGACAGCAATCTAGCAGATTCTTTCACTATGGTGTTTCCTCTCTTGAGTTTTTTTCTTTCAAAAAGAAAATTACTTTTCTAACCTCACTAACATAGTTGCTATAATGCGTGTGTTGAACCTCACTAACATAGTTGCTATAATGCGTGTGTTGAACCTCATGAACCTAGCAGCCACAAGCTTGTACTCCACTGTTAGGCACCTAGGCCACATTGGTGTTCCATAGTATATACATTGACTGTTTTACACTAGGCAAATTCCACACTTGGCCGTCATCACATTCCATATTTCCAGCACCAGCAGTATATTTAAAAGTAGGAATCTTCTGTTTCATAAAAAAATACAAATATTAAGCTGACGAAGCCATTATAATATTTTAACTGGAAGTCGCTTAACCTTTTTTTCCTTTATTTATATTATTTCAGGTGAATTCTGCTGCTGAGATCATCTATGACCTTGTTGATCCAAATGCTAATCTGATATTTGGTGCTGTCATAGACCCATCACTCAATGGCCAAGTAAGTCACAGACAAATTTATCTTGATATAGTTTTCTTATCAAATATCTTGAAAATATGGTTCAGCTGGTGCATAAGTTTATACTTGCAGCTGTTATAAACCTTCACTCGGTGCCATATACAATTTTTTTCAATATAATTTTCTTGTCCAATATACCTAACATCGTGGTCCAATACTCCAGTTATGTGCCATTACTCATTAGTTTCGACAAATTTGCAACTCACCATTTGGTTTGTACCTGAAATTATGTATGCACATAATTTTGTTTCTGCACGCAGGTGAGCATAACCTTGATTGCCACTGGCTTCAAACGTCAAGATGAACCAGAAGGTCGCACCACAAAGGTAAATGCAGTTAAATAACTGCTGGCCCGAGTTGCACGACAAAAATACTTACCTGGTTTCACTTTGGCAACTGAAGGGTGGCCAACAAACGCAAGGAGACAATGGTCGACGCCCATCCTCTGCAGAAGGCAGCATGATTGAGATTCCTGAGTTCCTTCGGAGGAGAGGACCTTCTCGCTTCCCGCGAGTCTGACTGCCCAGGCTCCCTTCCCTTGCCCAGTATCTATGCTTATCAGCATTCTCCTAGATCAGTCGCCTCATGTAGGATACCAGGCATGTACAGTACTGTAGTTGTTTGGTTGTTCAGTTTTGTTTACTCCCTTATGTTCTATATTTTGAGATCTTACTGTTAATAATTTGTAGCAATGAGCTTGCTAATGCTATAGAAATCGTTTTATCCCAGTAGGTCAAAATGATCATATGCCCCTACTCAAGTTGTGTTCATCTCACGAGGCTTTTACTCGGTTGAGAGCCTGGAGGTTCCTCTGTTTTATCGACATTGTGTGTGCATTGCCTGACAAGCATGGCAAATCGTATCCCTTAATTTTGGTTTCTATGCCATAATCACTATTGTCACTTGGTGCTTAAACTTACCAAGCACTATGATTATGAGTGTTCACTTCGGTTAAAATACAGGTTCAAAAGTTGTGCGTGCCTATGATTGGCGAAATTGAATCAGGGATAACAGTAACGATTCAACGACAACGGATATAAAGGATGTTTTTCATGTCGTTAACCTGTGTAAAACCATTGAGACCATTTGAACAATGCAAAGAGAGAATGGCCTCCTGGGTGAAAATTGTACAATAAAGCGCTAAAAACGAACCGATCATCTTTAGAACGACAGTTTTTAGAGCTGTTTGCTTTGGAGTGGCACATATCTTTTTTTTTACTTGTTTTAATTGATCATTTTTTATATTTTTACACGATAACCTCCCTCAGAGCAACCTTGCCCCACAGACACTAGAATATACAAAATATTACTTTCAGAATGTACACAATATTGCTTTCGCATCTTTATTGTATTTGGCAAAGATGTGAACCCAGAACTAAAGCACATATATGTTTGTTGTATTAGATATTCGGTGCAGTAAGAAATTTCTCGACAACGAAACAAAATGAAATTCCTCGACTGAATTGCAATAAATACAAAGCAATTCCAAGTGAATCCAATACACACAGATATGCGTAGAATATTATAGCTAGAATATAAATGAGGAAGCCCATTTTACTTGAACTCACCAGCTTATCAGTAAACTGAACGGAAAATAAATGAGCCAGCTTCATGTATTCAGGCTATTATAAGATTACAATACTTAACAAACTAAGGCATGTATGGAAAAACAAAACTGAAGTGAATCCAGGTAATACAAGAATGTTTGCACTCAACTATCAACTGCTTGATAGTGCAGTCAAACATTCAATCCTCTTAAACAGGATTTCTGCCTACCATGGTAGTTGATTACTTGATTGTACATTCTGTTGCTCACTGTTCCCTGTGTGTTCATGGAGCGACAGACTGTCAGCGAAATCATCTTGAAGCCCATTTGCAACACAAGCTCCAATTTCAACCTGTGATTATTCATGGAGTTGATAGACTGCCACCAAAATCATCTTGATGACCAATTCGAATGCAAGCGCCAACTTCGACCTGTGCTTGGTACCTCTATCCCTTTGCGGCGTGATCGGTATCATCCGCATCCTCATCATCACTGTCCTCATCTCTAGAAGCAACACCAGCTTCCATATCTTCCTTCTCACCTTCCTCATCATCATCATCATCATCGCTGTCCTCATCTCCAGAAGCAACACCAGCTTCCATGTCTTCCTCCTCATCATCATCATACTCTTCGTCTTCTTCATCGTCATTCTCGCCCTCCGCACCAAACTCCTCCCCTATCATCTGCTCGCCGCGAACTGTCTTCCGACCCTTGCCCTTGCGCTTCCCGGCCTCCTCCTGCCCCATATGCATCAAATGCAGGTACTGATACCTTATCCCCATCATCGGGTGCTTGTCGACCAGCATATGCCGCCGGAATGACTCCCGGAGCACCACCGTCTGCGTCCTCAGCTTGTGAGATAAGTAGAAGATCCCCGGGTGCCTCGCCAACACCTTCCTGAACCCCGGCGGCAGCCGCAGGGCCTCGCCGAGCTTCACCAGCACCTCCTTCTCCATCTTCTTCCCCACGGTGAGGCTCAGCACCTCGTGCAGCACCGCCGCGGTCCTCTTCTCCGTGATGTCGCTCCTCGGTGTCAGGTGTGAGCCGTCCTCGTACGGCGAGATGTATGGCAGCCTCTGCCAGTCGTCGAGCCACTTGCGCACCTTCTTGTCGAGCTCGAACCCTCGCGGGAACGAGAGCGGGAAGGGGACCGCGTCGCCGACCTTGTACCCGCCGGTGCGCTGCGCGTAGGACTGCATTGCCGACACGGCAAGGTCCTTCCGGTAGCAGACGAGCTCGAGGAGGGCGCCGTCGCGGGAGAGCGCGAAGTAGTCCGGGTAGTTGGGGAGGAGCGACCGGGGGAAGTCGGGGGCGAGGCCGAGGTCGAGGCGGAGGCGGGCGACGAGGTGGAGCGGGAGCGCGCGGGCCGGGGCCAGCATGAGGAGGCGCAGGAGGCGGTCGGCGGCGTCGGCGCGGGTGGAGTCGAGCACCTGCGCCTCCGCGGAGTGGATCCCCGCGAGGCGGGGCGTCGGGGAGACGGCGACGGGGTGCGGCGAGAGCGCGAAGGCGGACGTGTAGAGCCGGAGGAAGCGGAGCGGGCGGAACGGGAACGGGATGGTGGACGGCAGCGAGTGGAGCGGCACGGCGTGCGGCGGCGGCGCCGCCGAGAGGAGCGCGTCCTTGGCGAGCAGGAACGGCACCAGGTGGCGCTCCCGCTCCACCACGTGGTCCAGCGCCCGGTCCCGCACCCACGGCACCCGCGCCTCCAGGAGCCCCCTCGCCGGGACGCGCAGCTCCGGCCCCGGCCGCCGCTGCCGCCGCGGCAGCCGCGGCAGGAGGGCGCGCATTTTCGCTGCGGTTTTGCGAGGGTTTTGGGTGCGGCGTCGGCGGCGGCGAAGACGACGACGAGATGAGCGGATCGGACGGTGGGTGACGCGCCTGCCGCTTTTAGCCGCCGCGATGGGTTTTTGGGCCGCCCGGTGGCCCATGTTTTGGCCCAAAATGGAAGCGGAAATGAGGAACAGAAACTTCGCCGTGTTGCTCGCGCGCGCGTCCATCCCATCCACTCCATATGCTCGAATTCGCAGCGATTCATTTCATTTGGGGGAAATTTCTCCAACGAGAAGCTGTGGGTGATTAATGGCGTCGCCATGAATCCGATCAACCATCCAGGAGCACCATTAATGGCGGCTACGAGGTATTCGTGAGGTACACGATGAGATCTTCCTCCTCTTGTTCTTTCACCGGAGACACCAATCTCTCTCCGAATTGGAATTGATTCGCATTTTTTGTTTTCATGTGTAGGTGGGCTTGGTGACGATCGACGAGAGAGTCCGAGGATGTCGTACGCGTCCGGTGGCGGCGGCGGCGGGGAGCTGGCGACGAAGCGGTCGGCGTTCCACATCGACTATGGGGGTGGCGTGTCACTGCGGCGGCTGGCGCAGCCGGAGGCCCTGGCGCGCGGGATGATCACGCAGGGGTCGGCGCAGCTGCGGACGCTGGGGCGGTCGCTGCGGACGGGGGCGGCCATGGCGGTGGTGTTCCAGGAGGACCTGAAGAACACCTCCCGCAAGATCTTCGACCCGCAGGACCGGCTGCTGGTGCGCCTGAACCGCAGCTTCGTGGTCTCCTGCATCGTCTCCATCGCCGTCGACCCGGTGTTCTTCTACGCGCCCCAGGTGACGGCGAACGGCGGCAACCTGTGCGTGGGGATCAGCCGCGACCTGGCCATCTCCGCCAGCGTCGTGCGCACCGTCGTGGACCTCTTCTTCGCGGCGCGGATCGTGCTCCAGTTCCGGACCGCTTACATCGCTCCGTCGTCCCGCGTATTCGGCCGCGGCGAGCTCGTCATCGACACCGCCCAGATCGCCGCCCGGTACTTCCGGCGGTTCTTCGCCGCCGACCTCCTCTCCGTGCTCCCGCTCCCGCAGATCGTGATCTGGAAGTTCCTCCACCGGTCCAAGGGCGCCGCCGTGCTGTCCACCAAGGACGCGCTCCTCATCATCGTCTTCCTCCAGTACATCCCCCGCGTCGTCCGCATCTACCCTCTCTCCTCCGAGCTCAAGCGCACCAGCGGCGCCTTCGCCGAGTCCGCCTACGCCGGCGCCGCCTACTACCTCCTCTGGTACATGCTCGCCAGCCACGTAAGTACATACGCATACAAAATCTCCATTCATTTCCACGACCAAGAACTGAAGATCACCATTAACGGAGTAGAGATTATAATCACTCATTTAATACATGTCAATTAAATAGTTATAAAAAATTAAAGAAAATAAAAAATAAATTAATATTTCCTCCGTCTCACAGTACTTACATTTCTAACATTTAAAAGTTGTCCTAAAATAATTGTCTACAATTCAAATCTTTCTCATTCTACCACCAACCACCATCTCACGTCCAACTATACATTATTTATTAAGGGGTATTATAGTCTTCTTCTCTTAACCATATTACATGCTAAACAATCTAGAATGACATGTATTTTGGGATGGAGGTAGTATGTAATATATCACTTTACGATTGTGTAAGTTTAAATTTAATTTCTATAAGTTATAATAAAAATAATAAATTAACGTATATTCATATTCAAAATTATTATTTTTAAAAAATTGTAGAAGTTAAATTTGAGCTTATGTGTTTGTGGAGAGATATATTATGTACATTATTAGATTTTTTTTTCAGATTGTTTTAACTATTCATTAATAAACGAGTTCAAACGAGTGAACGTCTATTTTCCAGTGATTAAAAGAGCTTTCCAACAATTTACATGTGTTTTTTTATAGATCGTGGGGGCATCGTGGTACTTGCTGTCGATCGAGAGGGTGAGCGATTGCTGGAAGAAGGCGTGCAACGAGTTCCCGGGATGCAACAAGATCTACATGTACTGCGGCAACGACCACCAAAAAGGGTTCCTCGAGTGGCGAACCATCACGCGGCAGTACATCAACGAGACGTGCGAGCCTAGGGACGGCGTCATGCCCTTCAACTACGGCATCTACACGCCGGCCGTCAGGTCCGACGTCATCAAGTCCAACGACTTCACCTCCAAGCTCCTCTACTGCCTCTGGTGGGGCCTTGCCAACCTCAGGTTCGACAATTTTTTATTTTTGCCGCAAATACTATCGAAATTGAAATTAAAAGTGTAAATTGCTTCGCACAGAATAGATTGTATCATATTTCACTTACACCGGGTTTTAGTACTTATGTTCACTTTGCATTAGGGTATATCCAAATGTTTTTTATTTTGTATACTAGATTGCGTCATATGAATGAAGGAAAATTTTATAAATCACGAGTAAATGATTTTTTTAGTCGTCAAAAATGAATACTCCCTCCTTCCCTAAATATTTGACACCGTTGACTTTTTTAAACATGTTTGACCATTCGTCTTATTCAAAAACTTTTATGAAATGTGTAAAACTATATGAATACATGAAAGTATATTTAACAATAAATCAAATGATACGAAAAGAATTAATAATTACTTAAATTTTTTGAATAAGACGAACGGTCAAACATTCTTAAAAAAGTCAACGGCGTCAAACATTTTGGGATGGAGGGAGTATATCGCAGTAGGAGTCTCTCCTGCTATTTTTAATCGTAAGAAAAATTAATTTAGACCACGTTTCACAAAGTCATCCATATTTTATAAATTTTAATGAAATTTCTAAAAATTTGATGATGTATATCCTGGTGCTAAGTGAAATTTGTTTGAAGGCAACAACCTGATGTAGACTGAAAATATGTGCTAAATCTGATGTAAAGTGAAAGTAGAAGTGCCGCTTTATCAAGTGCAAAGTGCAATTTACTCAAATTAGAAACGATTCCTATGAGAATGTTGAGAAATTTGGTGTGAGAATAATTAATTTGAGGATGGATGCAGCACGCTGGGGCAAGGGCTGCAGACGAGCATATACACGGGGGAGGCGCTGTTCTCGATATTCCTGGCGACGTTCGGGCTGATCCTGATGGCGATGCTGATCGGCAACATCCAGACGTACCTGCAGTCGATGACGGTGAGGCTGGAGGAGATGCGGGTGAAGCGGCGCGACTCGGAGCAGTGGATGCACCACCGCCTCCTCCCCCAGGAGCTCCGGGAGCGCGTCCGCCGCTACGACGCCTACAAGTGGGTCAACACCCGGGGCGTCGACGAGGAGGTCCTCGTCGCCAACCTCCCCAAGGACCTCCGCCGCGACATCAAGCGCCACCTCTGCCTCGGCCTCGTCCGCCGCGTCCCGCTCTTCGCCAACATGGACGAGCGCCTCCTCGACGCCATCTGCGAGCGCCTCCGCCCCGCCCTCTACACCGAGCGCACCTTCATCATCCGCGAGGGCGACCCCGTCGACCAGATGCTCTTCATCATCCGCGGCTGCCTCGAGAGCATCACCACCGACGGCGGCCGCTCCGGCTTCTTCAACCGCAGCCTCCTCGAGGAGAGCGACTTCTGCGGCGAGGAGCTCCTCACCTGGGCGCTCGACCCCAAGGCCGGCCTCTCCCTCCCCTCCTCCACCCGCACCGTCAGGGCCCTCTCCGAGGTCGAGGCCTTCGCCCTCCACTCCGACGAGCTCAAGTTCGTGGCGGGGCAGTTCCGCCGGATGCACAGCAAGCAGGTGCAGCACACCTTCCGGTTCTACTCCCAGCAGTGGCGGACGTGGGCGGCCACCTACATCCAGGCCGCCTGGAGGCGCCACCTCAAGCGGAGGGCGGCGGAGCTGCGGCGGAGGGAGGAGGAGGAGGAGGAGGCCGCCGCGATCCGCTCGTCGACGGGGCTCAAGACCACCATGCTGGTGTCGCGCTTCGCCGCCAACGCCATGCGCGGCGTCCACCGGCAGCGATCCAGGCGGGCCGACGAGGTCCTCATGATGCCCATGCCCAAGCCCTCCGAGCCTGATTTCGGCGCCGATTACTGATCAGCCGGCAAATGCATGTGAATTAGCGCTTATGAAATGGGTGTAAATTGTGAGTAAATGTTGTCGGATTTAGCTGTGCAGTGCAGTACTCCCTCCATTTGATAGTCATATTTCATCTTGGCACACAGACTAAGGATAAGTAATTCTACTTATCATCTATTTAAATGTGCTACTAGTCATTCCTCGTAAACAAGTGATTCATTAATATTTACATTTCTCAATGCCCATGTAGCCAATCATGTGTGGAAGAATGAAGAGTCATGTATTAAATCCAAGAAAGTCATTAAGATGATAAGTTGTTGGATTGAAATATACCTATCAAAAATAAAATTTTCAGATTTGGAAATATGACTATCAAAAATAGATGGAGGGAGTACTACAGTGTGACAGTGTTGATCGGCTTTGCGTAAACCGGTACTTGATCAAAGCTAGAAATATTATACCCAATCTTGCTTTACATAAACAGGTGTTTCTATCTTGTTAGTTAGGGGATGTTAGACACACAATTGAGCAAAGTTTATCAAGCTCATAGTAAAGTTTCTTAGTATTTCTCTACATCAGTACGACTGTCAAGGCAAAGTTTATCAAGCTCATATATAGTACAGGCTGTGAATCACCAAACTCCAAATCTGCTTGAGGCAAATGTAATACTCCCTCCGTCCCTAAATATTTAACACCATTGACTTTTTTAAACATGTTTGACCGTTCGTCTTATTCAAAAACTTTTGTTAAATATGTAAAACTATATGTATACATAAAAGTATATTTAACAATGAATCAAATGATATGAAAAGAATTAATAATTACTTAAATTTTTTTGAATAAGACGAACGGTCAAACATGTTTTAAAAAGTCAACGGCATAAAATATTTAGGGACGGAAGGAGCAGTAACTATTAACAGCTCAGGACTTGAGCAAAGGGTTCTCTGGACTGAAGGCTGGGAACCACCAAGCTCCAAAGCTGCTTGAGGCAAATGTAATAGTAACCCTTTAACATTGTATCTTAAGTTAAGACGGCCATTTGAAAAAACAAATAAAATGGTACTAACTTAAAACAAGAGATTACTTTGTAAGCTGCTTGAGGCAAATGTAGTAACTCTTTAACATTGAATCATAATACATCGATTTGAAAAAAAAACAAATAAAATGACAACTTAAAACGAGAGATTACTTTGTTTGCCCTCATGTATGGTCCAACTATCTTTAAGGTCACCAATAGGCAATTGGGTGCCAACACCATAACTGATGGCTGCCGCTCCCGTCGGATGGCCTAAACAACCAAAGAATAAGCCAAAATTTAAATTTTCAAACTTAATTTTGAGATATTTTCAATGTAGGTTCTTTTTCAGCATTGGATTTTAAGTTACCAAGAATACATATATAAAAGTTTTACCTACAAATTCATTTTTATTCGTTTTGGCTTATTAGGAAAAAAGCCAAATGATGGGGGCCTAGGTATGGTGACCATGGCCGTGGAAGGAGCCAATCCATCTAAAGGTACCAGCACCCATGTTACACCACCAGCCTTGGCATTGAGCATGACAGCCATCTTCATAGCGAATCCATGAAGTCACCATGATAGGGACCTCCTTTGGTATTTCTCTGTATTCCTAATTCCCGTAGGAATCATGGGGAATTCCATCCAATTCCTATGATACTCAAATGTCCTATTACAGTGTTTTCTTTCCATTTCTACATCCCAAAGAATAAGACCAACTATAAATTTGAACAAATGCATTAAAACCAACTCCATTTCATTATCTAAAAAAAACTCCATTTCATTATTTATTTGATTGAAAGGATCACTGTAAACTTTGGTATGAGGCTTTTGCCAAACCATGGCTTAACCAATCTACATCCTCGAGGTCTCTTTCTAATGCAACAGCGATGCCCTTGCATATTCCTTCCATAAATCATATTACCTGGTTCTATTGATTGGATCGGAATACATCCGAGTGAATCGGAATATAGTGAATGGTACTGGTAAACTGTACAAGTGTGTGCATCAATTCTCTTTTGGGTGTGCATCTTGCATCTAGTGATACTTACATCTGATCTCTTTTAGGACATATGTTGTAAACTTACATCTGATCTAGAGCCTTTTCTTCCGAGCAGTTGGGGCATGAGATGCAACAGCAGTAGCCTGTGCTGAGCATGAGCAGAAACCACGCAGAACTGCAGTTACAGCAGCCAGAGCGAATGGAACGTACAGCTGAATCAGCTTCGGTGTTGTTCTTCCTGAGCCCAGCATCTCTCCGAAGATTGCAGACTGAAGAAAATGCAGCCAATATTAGAAACAAATCAAGAAGACTCATGGTATAATAAGACGCTATCAATTATATCACACAAAGATTGGTTGACTAATGAAACAATTCTGAATGTAGTAGAATCCAATAGATCTACTCCAGCAAGCAATTAGGGAAACAAGTAGCATGAAAGTGGAATTTCCCCCCAATAACTAGCCAAATCCATCTCTCCTATGCCGTGCTCGATCAGATCACAATCATCCTGACCGATCTAAGAAGGCGAGAAAGCAATCGAGAGAGTTCGTTACCATGTAGGTGAGCACGTAGACGCCCGCCATGATGGAGGTGGCGGCGGACCAGGGGCGGCGCGCGAGGATGCCGTAGAGGTTGGCGACGCAGACCGGCCAGAGGAAGGCGAGGTCGAGCCAAACGAGGCCGCGGAAGAAGGGCGGCGGGTCGGCGACGAGGTAGTGGCCGAACTCGGCGGCGAACCACCGGTGGATGCCGACGAGCGGCGCCGGGTAGAGGCCGCGAGGGAGGACGACCTGGGCGTCGAACAGCGGCGCCGCCACCGCCATGGTCAAGGAGAGCAGCGCCACCACCGCGTCGGCCGCCGCCGTGACGAAGCCCATTTTTGGTCGCTCCTGCCCCTCTGGAGCCAAATGAGTACTATTAAGGGGCTGTTTGGTTTCCAGTGACTTATTCCAAGTACATGTCACATCGAATGTTTGGACACTAATTTAGTGTATTAAACATATACTAATTAAAAAACTCATTTCATAATATTAGACTAATTCGTGAGACGAATCTTTTGAGTCTAATTACGCCATAATTTTGATAATGTGATGCTACAGTAAACTTTTGATAATTATGGATTAATTAGGCTTAAAAAGATCATCTCGTGGATTAGCTCTCATTTATATAATTAGTTTTTTGTTAGTCTATGTTTAATACTCTAAATTAGCGTCTAAACATCCGATGTGACATGGGCTAAAAAATTTTAGCCCTATCTATAACACCCCCTAATTTCGATGAGAAATTATTTGTTTTAATAATCTACAGAGTCAACCCTTTTTCACTAGTTTATGGTAAAAATAATTTTAATATCTGCAGTACTAATAGTATATTTGCGTGAATATGCTTTAGTATACAAATATTTTTTTATCAATGTATGCCGTTTACTAATTGTTTTTAATCAATATATTCTAAAAGTATTTGTTTATTAAATTTGTACTAACAATCGTCTCAACCGTTTGATTTAGGTAGTTAGAAGTTATATAAAATCTAGATGCACTCATAACATAACACGTCAGTATTAACAAGAATTTAGTAAGAAAAAGTTAGTACGTATATATATATATATAGCCCTTTCCATTTTAAAACTATACTCCCTCCGTTCAAAAACCTAAACATATCATGATTCGTTGTACTAAATTAAATTGCATCTAATTTTATGTTTGTTTTTTTCTAACGGAAAGACTATAGAGTATGCCTTATAAAAATTGGTGTAGGCTTACATGTATTTTTTTTCCTTGCGTAAAATATAATATTTTTTACCTTCAAACACTCAACGAAGTCTATTTTTCATCTTGAACTATAAAACCAATTATTCTTCACTTTGATAATGGTTTCAGAGGTGTTCTTTTTGTTACCTTACTAACCATCGTGCTATTATATGTCATCATGGTTGCTAATAAGACATTGGCTATGGCTCCACATTTGAAGCTGTTTTCTTTTTCACCGTTTCTTCTCGCAGTAAAGTGATTAGAGGGGGAGATGTGAGGAGACGGAGGAAAGCAAATGTATGATATGTAGGCTCCATGCAAATGTTAGTACTTATAATGGCATTAAATAGTGTTGTGACTTTCAACATGGCAAAGACCACTGCTAAAATATATCTTGAGGTGAACTTGTCTAGTTTTAAAGATTTACGGTGAAAATAAACATTTTTATATTTCAGGGTGGAAAACATTTTTTTTCTCTGATACGATGGAGAACATCTACCATTCTTTAAAATGTTCCCCCACTAAATTACAACCATATCTTTGTAGTAAAGCATCCTTTGAAATATAGTAATTCTAAAGAATCTTAGTTCGAAATTGTCTTTAATACCTATTATCGGATACTTTGAGAGATCTGAGATCTCCCACATTAACCAGAAGATCTAAGTTACTGATTACGTGAATCTTATTATCGTGATAGTAGATGGTACTGATAGTTTCGAGAATGTTGTAAATTGGGTTACCGATGGATCAAACCCCCTGTCATTGTCGCATGCATGCAATGTAGGTAGCTAGTTATTTCTTCTCCTTCATTCTTCCTCTTTTAAAATATTTTTTCTAAAATATTTATCCGATCTACGATCCAATCACACCATTGTATCCGTTGCAATTAAAACTTTACAACAAGATAACATATTATTATATTATATTAAAAGAAAAGCATACGTTTCAAACTGTTAAAACTCAATGTTTTATATGTGATAGTGATATATTTTAATGTGCGTCTTCAACGTGTTTCAAAAATTCCCGAAGCTACTTGTTACTACCCTCTCTCCTCTTTCTTCACCTCATTCATGCATGCATTAGTGAGCTTCAAAACGATTTTTATGCTAAACTACTTATCCAATTTATGATCTGATCACACCGTTGTATTTGTTATAATTAATCTTTATAACAAGATATCACATGATTATATTTTGATGAAAGAAAAACACATGTTTCAATCCATCAACACTTATTGTTTCATATGTGATAGCGATATGTTTCATCGTGTATCTTCACCATGTTTCACAAAATTTTTAAATGTTTCAGTTACTGGTTTTTTTGTTTCACCATATATATAACTTGGTGTTTCAATCGTTGGTGAACTGGAACATTTTACCGACCGATTTTTTGGTGAACTGGAATATTTTACTGACCGGTTTTTTGGGGCATTGGACACCCAATGAGAAGATTCTTCCTGATAGTTCGTGTTAGACAAACACTATCTGGCCCTAGTTTCTCAAAAATAACTTTTGAAAAATGGAAAACATGAAGTTCTACATTCATCTTGGACTCGTAATTCAGTGTTTTAATTAGCAAGCTGTAGTTAATATGGACTCTTATTTTAATGTAACACTGTAATTTAAAAAATAACCAACATGTTTAGCATATAATTAAAATTTTAATACTATCAATGCAATAAAAGGATCGATAGCTAGTTGGTCTAATCTATCAATATGTTATATCATAACGATATCTTTAAAAGAAGCTATCATATTCACTACAAAGACTAGAAATCATGACATTAATCAGAGGGGAAAGCAAAAAAATGTAAACGTTAGATTATCATGGGTCTAGAATGTTATTGTAAACAAAATGCATGCCAATAATGACAAAAATTAAGAGTTTTATATTAAATCCAATTATACTTTCCATCCAAATAACAGCTATGTAGATAGTAAGATACAAAGAGTTGTATATAAAAAATAATTAATTTTTCCAATTCATATAGAAATCATAATTCTATTTATAGAAATAGAAGATAGAGTTATGTACCAAATCTGATTATACTTCTATTCAGCTTTTTTGTAAAATTGCGATGGATAATCTGTTAGCTCTTGTGAAAATGGTATAAAAACTCTAGAGTTTAAAAGGAGTATTACACATATATATTTTTTTACAAACACAGTGTAAATATGGACGCTCACATGCACACACACTTACTTCTATAAACATACATGCACATTCTATCTTTATGAGCGATTGAACATCCCGAGAGATTTAGCAAATATATTAAGATTGGTTGAGTCATTTTTTTATACCACAAAGGATATATATTCTACTTGTGCTGTTGTACTGAGTGTATATGGGCGCTAGTATATCAATTGCAAAGTCAATAATATAGGGCTTGTTCACTTTTGTTGCCCAAATCAACTATACCAGATTTTGGTAATGCTAACTTTTGATACATTTTGGCATTATCAAATTTCGGTAGTGTTAGATTTGTTTGTTTCTGAAAGTTCAAGTGCCATTAATTTGGTTTTGGTGATTAATGACAAATCCAATTCCATGAGACTAATATTGTTGTAAGCATTTCTTTGTCTAGTCTCATATGGATATGAAAGTGGAGTGTGTGAGAGGTGATTCCTGGACTTCATATGAGTTGAGATAGAAATGTTCATTGATGGTGGACCTAAATCACAAGGATGAAATACATGGAGATCAAGCTATATGTATCACTCTTTCTCTCCATGTACATATTGATATTTTCATATATAATATTTCCACATGATTGACATGTGCATGTGAGACTAATGTTTTGTTTGAGTCTTATCTCTTATTTAGTCTATTTACATTGAGAACGTGGAGATGATGAATGTATGTTTTTATTTTAATGACTATATTTGAGAAATGCCTTCTATTCTTGTATAGGATAAGCTCTCAATGTGTCATATCTTGTTATGCATACTCTTGCTTCACACAAATATTCCATATGCATACATTTAGGGGGAGCAAATCCTACACCTTAGTTATGCATGTATTTGATCCAAGTTATTCACTTTCATTTAATTGGGATCTTTACATTTGAGCATATATTTGAGTATATGACACTTGTGGTGTTGATTAATACTCATCATTTATTCATATCCTTTTATACATGTGATTGGTTAGTCAACATGTGGAGGTTGACAACTGGATCATTGAGACTAATAATTTCACTAAGTTAATTGAGAAAAATAGGTTCCAAGGATTGAAAAGGTGTTGACGCTCAAGTGATATGATTACACCTAAAATACCAAGAATAACAAAGCGAAGATATTGAATATGTGGGATACGAAGTGGCTACTATGGCAAGACGGTGAAGGGCAAGCGATGCTCGGTCGCGATGGACCATGCGGAGGTGAAGGGCAAGCAAGGGGCTTGGCGCCGAAGAACCAAATCCAGTGGTGAAGGGCGAGTGACGGCTTTGTCATGATGGACCGTGTGAGACCATTTGAAGCTACAAATAACCGCATCAATCATTTGAAAAATATATGGTGAAACGGTTTTGGCGTTGGCGTCCCTTAAGATAAAGGAAGGAAATGGAAACAAGGCATTCCTATTGGTATAATTCTCTTCCTATTTATATTTGAGTATAGGAATGATGTACTATTTAGAGGGATGCAACGTCGATGCGTTTGTGTATGTCTCGGTGCTCAAAGTGACCTATCATACTACTACCTTGAGAGAAACCCAAGCTTTAACCTATCCTTTGAGTGGTTTTAGACCTTGTTCTTGGTTGAGTTGGGTAGTCCTCTAAGTGAGCTTTCCATAGAGTCCAAGATCATAAAAAACGGACTCCCAAGCAAAAAGTTATGATTGTTTTACTCTGTGCTTTTCGGAAGTTCCGAAAAATTATCGGAAGTTCCGAAAATCATCAGAAGTTCCGAAAATGGCTGCGAAACTGAGTTTTGCTTTTGTAAATTTTCGGAAGTTCCAAAAACTCCTATCTTTGCCTCTGTAGGATCGAGATGTCGACTAGAGGGGCGGGTGAATAGGCGATTTAAAACTAAATAACACCTAATCAAATCTAACCTAAGTTGCTAGGCTTGGTAAGGGTGAACTCTAACTAATCAACTAAGTTATGTTTTGCAAACCTAGGGTGATAGTGGCTCAATTATATCTCTAAGAAAGTAAATCACACTCCTA